AGGCTCATGAGGAGGCTCATGTTCCCTGTGGGCTACGGGGTCCCGGCTACCATCGTGGCCGTGTCTGCAGCAGCCAGACCTCACCTGTATGGCACCCCTGCTCGGTAAATGCGGACCCCACTTGTCCTTCTCCTCTCGAGCATATCCATGCCCTTCACTTGAACCAAAGTAGCATTTTTAGTATTTCAGAGCTTAAGATGGACAGCGACACTAACTAGTAACCCCTAGGGCATCTTTCCTGTGAAAAATTATAGTAAGGATTAATTAATTAACGAAGTCTCTCTCCTAGAAATAGCAAAGAAAAAAAAATCAAAAGAAAATTTTTTATTTTCAACTTAACCTACATTTTAAACAAATTCTATAGAAAGCCCCAATTCCTCATTTGGGAAAGTAGAGTTTCTTTAAATAATCAAACTAATAGACAAAGATAATCACCAAACTTGTGATTGTGGTTACCATGGTGACAGGAAGGATATGCAATCAGAAAGGGAGAGTAGTCCTCATCATCTTCTCCCTTGAAAGGTCTTAATTGCTTAAGCTCACATGTCAGTCCTAGGGATTTCATTATAACAGGTTTAAACTTTAATGATGTAGAAAAAAAATGTCTTAATTACAAAACTAAAAATGAAACATAGTGCCATAGGTAAGATTTACAGCGTGCTTATTTCATGCCAGGTGATTCTCTAGCCACTTTTATATGTATTGACTCAAATAATCCTCACATCTCTACTTACAAGTAGATGCTGTCATTAGTCTGACTTCATCAATGAGGAAATAGAAGGACAATTGAGTTAAGTGTCCAAAGGTGGCAAAACTAGCTGGTATCCACAAACTCAGGTTTATTACAGCACTATCCACAATAGCTGAGTCACGGAATCAGCCCAAGTGCCCCTCACAGATGAATGGAGAAAGAAGGGGTGGTGTGTGTTTGTGTGTGTGTGTGTGTGTGTGTGTGTAATGAAATACTATTCAGCCTTAAATAAGAAAAATTTTTTTTAACATTTGCAGCAACAGGGATAAAAATGAGCCAGGCACAGAAAGACAAGTACCACATGTTGTCTCACATTTGTGGAAGCTAAAAAATAAATCCACCTGAAAGTAGAACAGAGTGAATTCAAGAGATCCAGAAGGGTACAGGGCAGTGGCAAGGAAAGCAGAAAAGGGAGGTTGGGTTGAATCAGTGCACACGGTGGGCCTGGGTGGAAATACCATGCTGGGCTCCTCTAATACAGACAATTAATATGTTCATGGGCGAATTTCATTTTTAAAATGCTGCATTATGAGTGAACCTTGAAATATCACGCTAAGTGAAAGAATGTAGTAATTAAAGATCACACATTTCATGATTCCATTTTGTGAAATGCCAAGAAGAAGAAAATCGATAAGAGAAAATAGATTCCTGTGGCTGGGGGCAAGGTAAGGGGTGGGAGCAGAAGGGAAGAGCGAGTGCTGATGTGCACATGTTTCTTTCTGGAGCTGTGAGAATGTTCCACAGTTAGGTTGTGATGATGGCTTCACAGCACTGGTTTGTTCAAACAGAAACTGTGCAGTTCATTTTTCTGCATTTTTATTGGTGCTTTATAGTTGTACCTAATGATGGGATTTGTTGCTAAATATTCATGCATGCACACCGCATGACAATGTAACAATGGGTGAATTTTATGGTACATGAACTCCATGTCCATAAATCCATGAAAGAATTGTGGTCATTGGGTAAGTTTAGCAGCAGACAAAAAGCAACTATATTGAATGGGGCAAGATAAGCCCTTAAAATGATGTCAGGTTCACAAGAATCTCAAACACTGTGATCATGTTCACAGTCCTCTGCCCTGCTCCAGAGCTGACTACCTCAATAACACCCACCCATCTTCATGTCCTTATTAACATTTGATTTCCTTGGGGAATTCTCCTTAATCATCCTAATCCCACAGAACAAATCTTAATATGCCTCCAGGACTCATCCTCAGAACCCTCCATTTTTGTTTTATTGTTACAATGTGTCTACAGTGTGCATCCTCCAGGAGGTGAGACTTGGGAGATATACAACTGTGTTTACTTTCTTGGTAACTTCAGAGCCAGACAGAAAGCCTACCACCCAGACACTCAACGTTTGTTGAGGAAAGGGAGGAAGAGATCGAAATAACTGCTCTCTGTCTTCAAGGACCAATGCACGTATTCTTTCTCTTTGTTAATTTTTCATTTGTTCTTTTTAGATATACATGGCAGTAGAGTGTACTGTGACATATCACACATACAGGGAGTCTGGCTTCCCCTCCTTGTGGTTGTGCATGTGTGGAGTGACACTGGTCGCGGAGTCCTACATGAACACAGCAAAGTGATGTTGTTCTCTCTTTTGCTCAGGTGCTGGCTCAATGCAGAACAGGGGTTTGTGTGGGGCTTCCTTGGACCGGCCTGTGCTATCTCTTGTGTGAGTGATGTCATCAGAGTTCCTTGCTATCCACATGAGGGTCACTAGAAGAGCAGGATTATAAGGATGGTGATAAGAACAGGACTATCCCTGGATTGTTATGGGTTGGGTTGGGTTGGGTTTTCCAAGACTTCTGCATCTACAAATTCTAACGTTATTGTCAAATACTAAAAACTGCATGGGCTAGAATGGAGAGATAACAGATTTAAATTTTTATTCAATAAAACTTTGCTGTGGGGGATTTGGGTGTAGCTCAAGGGCAGAGAGCTTGCCTGGCATGCACTAGGGTCTGGGTTCCCTCCACAGAACTGCAAAAGAGAAAAGAAGATATTCATAAACCTCCCACAGTTTTTTTTTGGGGGGGGTCATTTTAGTTATAAATGATGGTAGAATCCATTCTGATACAATTACACAAGCATGGGAATATACCTTATCTAGTTAGGAGCCCATTCTCGTGAATGTACATGATGGTGGGATTCACTGTGATATTGTCATATATGTACACAGGAAAATTATGTCAGATTCATGCTGCTGTCTTTCCTTTGTGGTTTCTTGAAGGTCAATTTGGTTTTCTTCCTGATGACCCTCTGGATTTTGAAGAGCAAGTTGTCCTCCATCAACAGAGATGTGTCCACCCTGCAGAACACGAGGTGAGATGGAGCAAGGGACAAAACCCCACAGACATAGATGATGCCCAAGAGCAAAGCCATGTGCCTGGCCAGCCCCTCATGTCCCTTCTTGAGGGCTTCTGGGTGGCCCAGAATTAACAGATGTGGCTGCCCTTCTACGGCTGCCATCTCAGACTCAGGGCTCTGCTGCAGATGCCAAAAAAATGCCTCCATCTCTGATCCCAGCTTGTGACTCCCTCAGCCTCAGGAGGAATTGGTATTGGCTGATCAGCAATGCTTGGACTCTTTTTCAGCCTTTCCACAGCAAAAGTGCCAAGAGCATTGTTATTCTCCTGACAGTTGCTACATCTCAGGCTGCACTTTTTTGCCCCACCCTCAGCTAGAATCCTTCCCACCCTATAACTTACTGTTCCTCCCTGTAGAAAAATGCTACTCCAGTTCAGTCCTCCAGGGGGCGTGGTTGTTACTTCACTCAGCATCTTGTGTACAATTCTTGCTCTTTCTTCTGGGTTCCTCTGATTAACCTTTCAAATTTTTGCATGTTGCTATTTAGTTGTATTACCACTTGAACAGAGCATACGATTAATGAAAACAGAAATTCTGTATTCTGTTTGTTTTCTAAGATAGGGCCTCACTATGTTTCCGAGGCTGTGTGATCCTCTTGTCTCCGCCTCCGGAGCAGCTGGGAATAGAGGTGTGCACCCCTGCCCCCAGCCTCTCTTTGTGATTTATATCCAAGCCCTAACACAGGAAATCCTCAGTAACACTGGTTAATGAAATTAGGGATCTTCATGGAAAATGAGTTTTGGGAACTAACCTTATGAAGTATCGCTCTCCTGGACCCCAAATGGCATTTCTATTGTGAGGTATCATTGAGAGTAAAGATCAGAGTTCAATCCAAGAAATCGCTTACAGGGGAGAGTAGGTGCATCCGTGGGTGGAGAGGGGAATACCTCATTTTGTTGTGGGTGCATTATAAGGCTCCATTCTCCCCCAACCTAGGATGCTGACATTTAAAGCAATGGCTCATCTCTTCATCTTGGGCTGCACCTGGTGTCTAGGTGTCCTACAGGTTGGCCCCATGGCCTCCTTCATGGCCTACCTCTTCACCATCGTCAACAGCCTGCAGGGCGTCTTCATCTTCCTGGTGTACTGCCTCCTCAGCCAACAGGTACCCCTGCCCAGCTCCCACCCATGCCTCCCCACGTGCACTCCTCTCTGTGAGCTGACCTAGAGCGTGGGTTGCCTCTGCAGGTCCGGGAGCAGTACAGGACATGGCTCAAGAGGATCAGGAAACGGACAACTGAACCCGAGTCCTACACTCTGTCTAGCAAGGCTGTGTCCGATGCCTCCTGACCCAGCACGGTAATGTCACTCCCTGCTCCCAGAGCTCACGTTCCCTGGTATTGGCAGGATTTCTCTCCTCCTATCCACAGACCATGCTTCCCCTGGCTCCTGGACTCCACCATCATGCCTCCCTGTGCACTGACCTTTCATGATTCTGTCTCCCTCCCTCCCACCCACCTCCTTCCTGCTTATTATCATTTGTCCCCACCCTTATCTGAGTCTCCTAAAGACCCTGGTGATGACCTTAGGCTCACCTGTATAATCCAGGATGATTTTCTCATCTCAAGATGTTTAACATGCATGATCCCACTGATACGTGAAATGCAAACATTGATCTCATAGAAACAAAGTGTAGAACAGTGGTTCCCAGAGGCTGGGAGGAGGGGGTGGGAAAAGCTTGATCAGTGGGTACTAAGTTACAGTCAGGAGAAAGAAGCTCTGTGGTGTGGTGCACAGTAGGGCCACTAGACCACAAAGTGCACTGTGCCTTTCCAACAGCTCTGAGGGGCTAGGGGCCGCTCAGTGGGAGGGCTCTTGCCTGGTACGTGCAAGGCCCCGGGCTCCATCCTAGCACCAAGTCTCTTTAAATTATAAAGAAAGGATTTTGAGAGTTTTTACCACAAATAACTAATGCATGTTGGAGGAGATAGTTATGTTTAATCTGATGTAAACACTCACACTGTAGACACCCAGGGAAACATCACATTATACCATTAGTATGTGCCATCTAAGTATATTTAACGTAAAATTTGATTTTTTAATCTTTAACATACTCCTTCTTGAGAATTACCTTTTCCAGGCAGGGTAACACTCACAGGCTATGGGGTTAGGGTGTGGACATCTGTGGGGTCATTATTTTGTCTATCACACCAATTACATAGGTTGGGTTTCTCTCTCATGGAGCTGTCAAAATCTGCATCTGGTTGTAGATAAATGAATAGATTCACCACCCCCTCCCTCCACCACAGCCCTAGGAATGATATACACATTGAAGAAAGGCAACGTCAACATTTTATCTAGAAAATAGGAAACCATCAGATAGGGAACGAAGGCTTCTGAAATTCAGGTGATATGATCAGGCGTTTCTACCATCTTGGGCACTGGACTGCAAGGGTCCACTCTGTTGATGGCCAGATGTCATTTTATCTTAAAGTGTCTCCTTAAACAGGGCATCTCCAGGATGTCAGTTGATGGACTCTCTTCCTCTAATTTTGGAATCCCTCCCTTGGCTCATTTCATAAAAACAAAACATTTGTCTTGTAACCAGTTCTGAATAATTTTCTGAAGCACAGCATTCATAAGGCTCCAGTGAATCAGCCTCACTTCTTAGAAAGTCCAAAATCAGCAAAATGAAATCTCATGTGGCCTCTTGATCATGCCCTGATAAATCCATCAGGCAAGAAAATATTGTGATTGAAGTGAGTGTGTGTGTGTATGTGTGAGTGTGTGTGTGTGTGTCTGTGTGTGTGTGTTTGCATGCAACATCATACCCCATAAAGGGATGATAATTATTTGTCAATTGAAATTTTTAAAAATTAGGAGCAGGATTGTTGCTAAGACCCTTCAGTGCTCATCCCCCAGGCACAACGGCTTAACAAACTCATTGTGTATTTTTGGGGTGTGTCCCATGAATATACAGAAAATAAAATGGTTACTATAATAATGGAAATTAACTTACCCATCATCTCACATTCTTGTTTGTACGTGAGCAGCTGAAATCTCTTTATCTAACAAATATTTTCTTTCCTTTTTTAAATGGAAGCTGTGAGTTATTTTTCAATAATCTTATGTCATTTTAAAATAATTATCATTCCAGACTGATTAGAAAGATCATGGGAGCTACATCATCCTTCCCCATGGAAAATCTGAACCGCCATTTTTTAATCATTAGGACAGGACAAAGACTCTTGTGCTGTGTGTTTCAAGATATTCATGGTGTTGGCCACGTGAAGGGATTCTTGGAGGACATGATCGACATTCAATACCTGCAGAACCTGAAATCTGTCCATGCCCGACATGGTGCTGGGCAAACTCAACATCCAGATGCCATCCGCAGCCCAATTCCTCAGTTTCTCTGTTAAACGTTCTTCTACTGCCCACCCTACCTATGAGGCCTCTTCCATGCAAAAATTCTAGAAGCAAGAAAACCATCCTCCCAGGATGGTCACATCAACAACATTCAAAAGGAATAGAACCCGCCTTAAACTTTTTGACAAAAAATAAAATATAAATAGAAAAAAATTATAAAAATAAAATATTGAGGTGCCTACAAGGAAGAGACCTTGCTCTATGTGGGACATGGGCTTCTGAGGATGTGGAAGGCTCCCCAGAATGCCATATTCCACTAAAGATCTTCCATAGTCATGTAGAGGCCAAATTGCCAGAAAATTGGTCCCCAGATAATTTCCTGACAGACATGTTAGTAATTAAGAAGTAAAGAGTAGGAGACAAGACTGGGAAGACAGGGAGATGGGCCTGGGTCACTTCCTGGGCACTGAGTACAAACAGCACCTGCAGATATTTGCTAAGAAATTTACAAAATGGCTATTTTTAAGTCAGGACCTATGTGACGCTGGTCCATGCCTCTCCAAAGAAGGAAAAAGGCCCGATGGACATCTTGATTGGACAAAAGGCTTCATGGACACCTCGTGGATACTGCATGAATATACTTTGTGACTTTTTCTACTTGTGCTAATTAATGCAAGTAATAGCTTCTTTGTCTTGTAGGGCTTCTACAGAACAAGCAGTTGTCGTTTGGTATCAGGGTTAACATAGACTTGGAAAATTCCTTGGCACATTTATTTCCATGCGATTCCCAATAATTTATATGCATTGCAAATAGGTGAGATTTCAAAATTACTGATGATATTTCTGGGGGATGAATTGGGTGAGTCAATTTCTTCATTGACTGGTCCATTATACTTTTTAATTAAAAATTAACCAAGCCTATAGAAAATGTGGTTTCCTCATCATTAAGGGGAATTATACAGACCTGGCTTTTAACATTTCACCTAAATGGTGGTTATTACCAGGACATTTCAAAGTGAAGTTCAAAAGTCATTCCTAAGACACCTGAGATCAGGAAGGCTGCTGACCAGGTGCAGGGGAGTCCCCAGGTCCAGTCGGCTTTGGGGACTAAATTAGGTTTGGTGACTGGGATTTCCAGCTGGTGGTGGCAAGAAAAGGGAACTAGGGTCACTATGGAACCCCAATGTGACCCACAGCAGAGGAGGGGCCACCAAGCCAATGCCTCCTAGAGCACTGGGTCCACGCCCCAGGCAGCCAGGGTCCTGAGGTGGCCGTGGACTTCCTCTAGCTGCCGCTTCTCCCCTGGGGACATTTACTTTACAGGGAACCAGAAAACCACACGGGGACTCCAGGATTTCTCCTCCAGGGACTTTCTGAGAAGCCAGGGATTCACTCGGTTCTCTCTGGGCTGTTCCTGTCCTTGTACCTGGTGACCATCTTTGGCCACCTGCTCATCATCCTGGCCACCATCTCAGATCCCCACCTGCACATGCCCATGTACTTCTTCCTCTCCAACCTGTCCTTTTCTGACATCTGCTTCACCTCCACCACCATCCCCAAGATGCTGGTGAACATCCAGACACAGAGCAAGGCCATTACCTACACAGGCTCCATCACCCAGATGTACTTCTTCACTGTTTTTGGACTGCTGGACAATGGACTTCTTACTGTGATGGCCTATGACTGCTTCGTGGCCATCTGCCGGCCCCTGCACTACACAGACCTCATGAGCCCCAAGCTCTGTGCTCAGTTCTTCTCCTGAGCTGGCTCATCATTGTGCTGGGAGCTCTTCCTGAGAGTGTGAGTGGACTGAGGCTCTCCTTCTGCACAGACGTGGAAATCCCACACTATTTCTGTGAATTCCCTGAGGTCCTCAAGCTCTCCTGCTCATACCTTCATCAGTAGTGTCATATTGTACATAGTGACAGGCATCATGGGGCTTTTCCCTCTTGCTGGGATCCTTTTCTCTTATTCTAAAATTGTGGCTTCTGTCCTGCGGATCTCCACAGCAGGAGGGAAGTACAAGGCCTTTTCCACCTGTGGTTCTCACCTCTCAGTTGTCTCCCTGTTCTGTGGAACCTGCCTGGGGGTCTACCTCAGCTCCACAGGGTCACGCGCCTCCTGATCAGGGGTGTTGGCCTCCACCCTGTACACCCTGGTCACCCCCATGGTGACCTTACAGGTTTTCAGTTTCTTCCAGTTTTTGAACAGGTTAATGAGCAAAACCAGCGTGTCTGCGTACACACTATCATTCCTTTTAAAACCTTAAAAGAATTAAAAAATGCTTGTCATACTTATGGCCCTAATTCACCATTTATACAAAGCTTGCTCGACTCGGTTGGCCAAACACCTCTTCCACCCAATGACTGGGTGTCCATGGCCAGGACTTGTCTGTATGGCGGTGACTGCCTTCTCTGGGGGTCTTACTGGACCGATTTTTGTATCGAGCAGTTTGAGAGAAACAGGAGACAGAATCTTGAGACTCCTTTGGAGTTGTTGATGGGAACAGGTGAATTTGCAGATTTATAGAGGCAGTTCAACTATGATTGGCGGTTTATGATCAGAATAATTCAAGTGCAGACAAGGCCTGGCAGCCAATTTCTTCCCAGGATCAGTCTAATCTAGTTTGACTAAGATAAAACGGGGCTCAGAAGAACCATTCTCCGACGTTGTAGTGTGCTTGTACCAAGCAGCTCACAGGTCCATCGGGGACTCAGGTGCTTGTGAGTTGGTTGGTAAGCAGCTAGCATTGGAGAACACAGGTAAGGCCTGCCAGGACATCCTCCTGCCTCATAGGGAAAAGGGGACCAATTCAGAATTTGTTTGCATTTTTGCAGATATCGGCTGACCCAATGACAAGATTTTACACTCGCCATGGCTTTGACAGGTACTGCAGCCCCAACCCCAGGGACACCATCTCACGGATGTTGGTAAAGATGGTGCCCCCAGCGCTTCTGTTCCGGGAGCTTAGGTCTGTAATGTACTGAATGGAAGGAACTTTGAATGGCACGCGAGCCATCACCTCCATTCCCTATGAATGGTACACCTCCAATCCCTGAAGTGGTGCAAACTCTCAGCCAATAAAGAAGTAACACTCGCCCCCTGCTCCCCCTCACACCTCTTTGAGCCCATAAATATCAACACCCTGTTCAATCTCTCTCTCTCTCTCTCTCTCTCTCTCTCTCTCTCTCTCTCTCTCT